ATATCCAAGAAGGATTGAAGAACAAGGAAGCATGACCAGTGATGACCTTGAAGAACTGGAATTTGGGGACGACGTCCCTCGTTTTTTTCGCAACAACCCACTCTCGGCTAGCATGGGAGTGTCCAGGTGGCAGCTGAAAGGGAAAAGGAATAACCGTGGTCTTATGAAGAGGTCTGATGCAGAAGTTTCTGGAGGATATATATATCGAGGAAGGTCAAATTGGAGCAGTAGTGGTAAAAAGTCTGATTTGATTGAGAGAAGTTTTAGGACCGGCATGCCTGGATATAGATCTACATGTCTCCCAGATGGCTTGGCTTGGAATGATCAGTCGTCCATGAGAGGATATTGGGACGATTCTCTCGATCCTCTATCTGCTCAGCATCATTTTGGTGGAAGTACCTTGTTGGATGTGGATTTGAAGGTTCAGGCGAACAACTACCGTAGAGACGTCCCTATTATCTCAATGCAGAGTAAGCTAAATGGACGTGCTATAATAGGGCACCCTATCCAAGTTGAAGCTCTTGAAAGTGGTTCCTCAGAAAACTTTCTTCCTGCTACCAATCATTTTTATCCTGAAACATCGGAGAATCATATGGCGCTTACACCCATATGGAGTACTGCTCGTAGAACTGCCAATTTTCGGGTTCCACGCCCACACGTGTCCTCAGCAATGAGTAGTGAAAGTAAACCAGATCTTCAAGTTGTTGTTGACCAAGACAAACAAATCCCATTTGGACACCCTCAACATTTGGACAGGAGATTCCCAAGAAATTCACCGAGGAAAATTAATCCGTCTTCCAACCAGAAGACAAGAACACTTTCATCGATTGCTTCAGAACCTAAACATAGTATTGATCATAGAATTGGAGGCAACAATTATCAAGCAGACGGGCTGATGAAAACCCAGGACGTGCCTACAACTGTAGCTTGTATACCTGTTAAGCTGGTATTCAGTAGGTTGCACGAGGAGTTTGATGGGTACCATCAGTAATGAAATTCCGAGTCCTGATGATGGATGTGAAATAATAGAACGGTGATCGCTATTAGCCTTGTGTAAATTCTTGGAAACCAATTATCATATTGAACCCCAGGTTCAACATCTTTTCTTTGAAAGCCCCATCTATGTATTTGTTTTGGTCGAAAAACCTGTAGAACAGGATTGTTTGTGAAATGAAAGCATAGGATATTTTGAGGTATGTATGTTTTGCTGGGCTTTGTATACATGAAAGGGTGATACTTTGATGTGCTCTATGGATAGAAATACATAATGTAGATTTTATGTAGAAGATCACATCGTTGTTTTTTTCTGTCTTTTAAAGGTGTCAAAATTGTGTTGAACCCTAATTTGCTCATATATGTCGTCATCTCTAAATATTGTCCAAATGGAGTATATAATTTTTGTTATAAATTAGAGAGAAAAAATAGAGAATGAAATAGAGAAGTCATTAGAATTGTGTGTTTAATTAAGAACCAAGTATTTATTTAAGCGATAACTATCTCATTGAAACATTATTTAGCTAAAACTCGATGGGACAAAAATTCTAACGAATGAAATAAGCCCCTGTTTGACATCATTAAAATTATAATTCATTTTGTGTCTCTTCTTATCAATCACATATTTTTCAATAAAATAATATTATACGTAAACCCAAAATAATTTAGATCATGTGCGGTGGAGATTTTAATCCAATTAACATCAATTTTTTAATCGTTATTTCACTATTCCAACCATCATTTTCGAATTTTTCTCTCACATGTAAGACCTAATTAACAAAATCCCTACCAAACAAGCACTTATTCTTTTTTAACTACACATTCTTAAAAAAACAATAATATAAAAATTATATTCTCAAGTAATGTTAAATAATAGGGGCCAAACGAGGGATAATTTGGAGTAATAAAATGGTGCCTTATTAAAATTTTGTTAAGAAAATCCTGTGGAACAAAAATTGATCAAATGAAAAAAAGTACAACTGCTCTCCTTGATTCCAATTCTTGTAACAATTCATTAATATGTTTAACATTGCAATTCTGATGAAAGCATATTTCATGTTGTCTCGTTATAACCTTCAAATAACACCATCTTCATACGAAGTATTTATCATTTGATGATTATAATAACATGATAATTTGAAAAATAGCTTTTGTTGATTTTTTCGAGAGTCTCGTACATATAGAAATATTATTTTGAGGGTAAATATTTTGCATGTTATGGACATTCATCATATAAAGGATATACTTCATTAAAACCTTATTACAAAAAATCCTGTGAGAAAAATCCTAATTAAGAAAAAAATACATTTATTTTTTTTTAGTACACAACAAAAGTTGTCTAAGTAAAAACCTTGTCAGGAAAACCAATAGAACAAAATATTTGTCAAGGAAAAATGAGTACAACACATATTTACTCTCTCTTATAATAATATTACTTGAATTATGCTTCAACCATATTAAATCTTTCACTGATAACATTAATAGTCATACTAGATAAGTTGATAATCATGCATTTCAAATTTGTGCTCGTCAATATAACATGATATGAACTAGTGATTTCATCCTCCATGATCTTTGGGAAATTCATTATGTTAAGAGTCGCACGTTACATATTACAATCTCATTTTTCTTGTTTTCTTTTTGTATATGTATATACCTTTAGATTTTTGAACTGCAGGTAAAAAAACTTCAAGTTTTCTCAAGTAAATTTTATTTTGTTAAGATCGCGTTCAGAAATTTCAGGCTTATCTATTAAGTTCAATTTTAATATGATCGCATCATTTTATTTGATTAATCATTATTTCAATCAACATGTTTCGATGAATTTATTTTGATTTCTCACTATTCATAATATGATACAGTGCATCTTGTACAAAAGTGTTATCGACAACTTTTTTCTTTTCGATTCTATTTTTTCTATAATGACATAATTTATTGAAATATCTCAATTTTTATTATATCAAATACCTGAACTTCTGAAATTTTACGTTTTGTTATGTCTATATACTCTCCAAAATTTTATGCATGCTTAATGGGGATCGTCTTTACTAATTGCTCCATTTTCATTTGGAGATTTTTATATTAGAATTGAACATCAACATGCTTCATACGTATCATCAAATATTATATTAATTAATCGTCTTTTAGGACGTTAATTTGAGTTGGAATATTTAAAGCTGACGTATGATATATTATTAATCTCGTTGGTCAATAAATGCATTTAAATGAATTATCTTCCGAGCTTCTGCTTCGAATGATCTTTTGTGAGGATTTAGATAATGATACATTTGTACATTATTTTCAACTTATTAATTTCTCCCCCCTAATGCTGAGATAATTGTGTAATCAAATTGATAATAAGCGAATAATTTTATGAAATATCACCCGTTAGGGTTTGAGATATTATATAAAGATTCAAACTACTTAGTTATTCTCAGCATTAATTACTTTCCATCTTAGTGCGTTGTGGATGATCAATTTTACATTTACTGCACTATTAAAATAATAAGATGAAAATATTTTGCTTTGATCATAAGCCAATTATAATAGAACGAACTATGATATTAACATGATACGTAATAGCATTCACTAAACTGAAATAGGAAATACCTCGTCTTGATTGTCTATTTTGAAAATTATGTTCATAATTTAAGCAGTAATTTCAGAAACTTCATGTTGCGAAACAAATAATATTCAGATAGTTAATATGAAGGATGTGGGGGGTCTATTTATCACCCTGATTAACTTCCAAAAATATTGGAAATTCAATCTTTATATAGCTAGTGATGGTTAATGAGATTTTTTATGAAAAATAACAAATATCATATATGATATCATTGAATTGAAGAATCTTTTGATTTTTCATTGAAAATCCATTTAAATTCGCATTTCACAATATTATTTATCCAAACATAGTCTAATTGGACATGTCAAGCAGTAAAATATAGGAGTTATTAAACTTTTGGTTCAAAGCAATATTTATGCAGGCAACCCAATCGCCAGCAATGAAAGGGATCCAACAGTAAGAGTACACCTCACTGGCCAGATCCCCATCGTCGCCAGATCAAAAAACCACAAACCCCCCCCCAAAGTGCAAATCAGAACTGTAACTTCGCGTTGCTACGAACGTCGCCTTCCCTACGTCAGTATTGGTTCATCTTCTTCGCGTAGGTTACAGTGTCGAAGAGAGAGAAGGTAGAGACGGGCCCAAATAGTATCTGCAATTCTCCTCCCCAATCTACAGTAGCGTCAGAAAAGAGAAGGAGATCTGCAACGTTGCGATGATACTTGAACAACAGTGTTGCCTCCCCACATCGGCATCGATGCTGCCGCATCTCCTTCGTCGACTTTGCAATGTTTGAATGGGTTGGCATCGAGAAGAAAGAAGGAAGAGACGGGATGAAATTTGAAAATGGGTGAAATGATTAGGGTTTTTAGCCCCCGTTTGGTCCCCTTTAAAACTCTTTAATTCAATTTAATTTTTTCTCTCTCCTACTTTTAACCACACAATCTTCAATAAAATAATATTTATTCAAATCGAAAACTTTTCAACCGCACAATCTTCAAAAAAATACTATTCCCTCATTATAAATTCAAATAATGGGGGGCCAAACGGGGGCCTTAATTGAATTGGGTGAATTAATTATATATAATACCTGATTTTCGCATAAATAAATTTTATCCCTGAATTTTGAATTTGAAAATTTATGTACCTGGTTTTATGTAAATTTCACATTTGAAAAATAAAAAATAAAAAACTGTAATTTCCACTTCTATCTATTTTCCACAAAAGGTCAATGACTCATTTGGGCTGCTTTGAGTTTTGATTGGGCCTATAACCTGTTAAAACTGAGGGACAAAACCCACTATGCTGAAGTGAGCCCCCTAGGCGTAACGTATTGAATACACAACTCGTACACTCCTTAGGCCCTTACTGTTAAATTACTGAGTCAACACCAACGATTCACACCTATACATGCACCTATACATACAAATCGTCTCTCGATCTGTTATTTCTCAAGTCCCAGAAATATGAAATTTCTCTTAATGTTCGATGGAAATCCTAAACCTAGCCCGAATTGGTTTACTAAAATCGTCCAAATGCTGCCTTGGTTCAATTCTACTTGCTAAATTCAATTTCTCTTTCTTCTTATTCGGTGGTTAGTTAATGAAACCCCAATTTTATTCTTGTGATCATCAGATCAAAATATTTGGTTCTTTCTGTAGTTCTTTTCCTTTTTCTTAATTTCTATGTCGTTAATAATTAGTGTAGAGATTTTTATTTTCCGTTATGCATCTGTAGAATAATTTTATTGAGTATAAAAAATAATAAAACAGGAAAATAAAAATTTTTTTTTTGGTTTTTTATGTAAATTACATTTATACATTGTATCCCATATATGTAAAGAGTGAAAGGGACGGGGACGGGGACAGTGAAATATGGGGAGTTCGGAAACTGGAGTGGATTGCAGCGCGCGAAGTATTGTGTGGGTCCGGAGGCGAAATGGGTCTTGGTGGCCAGGAAAGATAATAGGGACAGATGAGCTCTCGGCATCCCATATAACGTCTCCAAGGTCCGGAACACCAGTTAAGCTTCTCGGAAGGGAGGATGCTAGTGTGTAAGTCTGCACATGAACGCAAACTTGCTTTTTGGTTGACTTTTTTTTTTTTTTTTTTTAATTACATAATTGTTCTGTAGCTTTGATTTCTGCGGCTGGTGCTTATTGTTGTATATATGTGAATTATATTTCTTTAATATATAATTGTTGGCCCGAATTAAATTTTAATGAACAAGACAGGGAAAACAAAATTACTGAAATTTGACTTGGATGATTTGAAATTTATTGTAACACACTGCCATGCTTCAGCAGCGCGTTATTTTGCTGTTTGTAGATGAGGAATACCCTTTGATAAATAACTTGGTCTCTGTGTAGTTTTCTGATGCTACTTAAACATATATTCTAGGCCAAAGGATATAGAAGTCATATTTGCGTAATTTGTATGCTTGCTTATTATCTTTGACTGATTAATAATCATTTCCACTTAGTATCTTTTATTGATGCTAACTGTTGAGCATAATTGGGAATTCTTGGAAAGAATTCATGTGTTTGGTTCTTATATTGATCTGAACAATTTACTAATTGCTCTAATTTATAGAATGTAAATTAATCCTTGTGTAGTTTTCACGGCTCACACCATGAGGAGGTATATCTCCATATTGTTTTCCACTTTGTTTTAGATCAATTGAAAGGTATTTTTCCTCTTTCTGCCAAGATATGAATGTGAACCTGGGCTTCCTTTATTTTAGTTAAAGATTTAAGGTGAAGCTTCCAAATCTTAATGGATATACTAATATATTTGTCGAATTTATTTTCGTTTAAAAAATAAGTAACATTTTATTTTGGGTGCTATCTTCAAAAGTTGCTGCTGCTCTTGTCTCTGTTTTGCACTCCCCTCCCCCTGCCACTCATGCTTCCACTTTGGTTTTATGTATGTTGGTGTGAGGTGTATTGCTTCTGCGGACATTTGAATGATGATTTCAAGCTTTAGTAACTGAATTAGCCATTTAGGGTTTTAGCTGATTCATGTTGTGTTTTTCTTCTTTTATCTTACTTTAGCTACTTTGTTGAAGTTATATGCTTAGTTTAAACATGAAGCCTGTTGTTGATTAGAATATTTGTTTAAGACTGATATCAGGTGATATTGTATTGGTTTAGGAATAGGGATATACTCTTATGCCACACAGACACACACATGGGTGGAAGAAGATGCAAAAAATTGCATACTTAAGGATAAAATGTGCCACGATAACATGATAAATTGGAAAACAAAGGCAAAATTAATGAGAGTGGAAAGATGCCAAAACTAACATGGTCTAGTGTGGTTGCCAAGGATCATTTTGCTTTGATGTTCTAATAGATTTAGTGGACTGAATAGATTGACAGAGAGGTATTCTTGTAGCATGCCCTAAATTTGCCAGGAAATAATACTTAGTTTTTTGTTATGGTTGAAAGATGCAGTCCACATGACCATCTTTACAGCAGCCATAGCCAGTGTTCTTATCGTGAAGCTTGTTTTCTTGAACATAGATTAGGCCTTTTAGAGAACTTGAAACTTTTTGTATTTGCATCTTCCTTTAGGGTATTATTGTTATAGATTAATAAGGGACTACTGGAATGAAAATGAAGATGAGATGCAAGACTTCACCGTAACGGCATGAGGAATATATTCACTGGAAAATGGTGGTTCTAGATGGCAAAGGCCTTAATTGGGTGTGTAGAACAGTTTAAGTGGATGGCATAGATATAGTTCAAAGTTAGAAGACTAGAAAACCTCTGAGCAGAGCAAGTGGTATTTGGGGAAATTTCTCTCCATTTGCAGAGTTTTGACGTCTTGAAACTTGTTCGCTTCCGTGTTTCAATGATTATAGTCCGTTAAAATTCAGTCCATCATTGAGATGTTAAAGTCCCGTAGACTCGGGCCGTCTTATGAGTTCATTCATAAACTTAAATGGAAGGTCCAAAATCTGATACTCAAATGGATTGAATTGTGATTCTTAAAAGTGGCCCAAATTCTGGTAGTGGTGTTCCCAGTTCTCTGAATAATTTTCTGTATAACTTCTATAATGAACATAAATAACTTTGTCATCGCTGATTGTGCTGCCATTTTCAATATAATATTTCCTATAGACTATGAAAGTGAATGGTTCTCATAATAACTAATCATTTTCCTTGTTAATATGTTGAAGTACACTTGTCCAGAAGAAATCATTATTTTCTAGTTCTATCCGCTCAGCTTTTTATATGTTACAATGTTTCTGGTTATATGCACTCCCAGAGATTGGTACAATTTGGAGAAGTCTAAACGTGTGAAGGCTTTTAGATGTGGCGAGTTTGACGAGTGTATAGAAAGGGCTGAAGCTGTGCAGGGCATGCCTCCAAAGAAAAGAGAGAAATATGCACGTCGGGAAGATGCAATCCTCCATGCTCTTGAGCTCGAGAGGCAATTATTGGAGACAAGTGGGAAAGTGGGTTATGCTTCTAACGATAGAATCAAGAAGTCTGAAGATGTCACTTCTTCAGGTCACTATGAAAATGGAAGTGGAAATCAGATAGATCCCAGATCTCTTCAAGTTTCTGAGAGCCTTGGTAGGACAGTTGCAGAGAACCATGTGGCAAATCATATGCACGGAGATGAGGAAGTCAGAGAGGGAAATCAACTGAGAGGAGATTATGATAATGCTGGTGTACTGCCCCGGATGAGAGGATTGCAGGACGTTGGTCTTCGGAGTGGTCCGCTAATGCATAAGCTTTCTCCTGCAATAGCTTCAAATGTTTCTCTGAAACCAGTTGTTATCAGCACTCCTGCACTCCCTAACGATGCTTTTTCAGCAGATGATAAAGTTAATCCCAACATAGAAAAAATGTCAGACGATGAGAAGAGTTTGGCTGAAAGCTTGCCTGACGAATCCGTTGTCAGGAGGCGTGACAGGCAGCGCCCTCTTATTCAAGTACTGGAAAAGAGTGCAAAATTACCAGTTCCAGACTCTCAGCCTGATGATGGTTCTGCTACTATCAATACATCAGAAGAGGGGCTTCCAGGAGTTTCATTCCGTGCAAAGAGAGGCAGAAGTGCCTATCTAGCAACTGATTCTGATAGTTATTTAAATAATTATGGAATTCATTCTTCTCAGATAGAAACGTCAGTTTCTAAGTTTGAAGAAAGTGATAAGCCACATTCTGCTGATTATGGCGATGAGCACACTTCTGGGTCCACAGAGGATACTGAAACAGATTCTTCTGGGAATGATTCTCTGGAATCAGATTCGGATGACGAGATGACTGCAATCTCAGGTTAGATTCTGTCTATTTGCATTTCCCCTTGAATCAGCATCATTAATTACTTCATAAAATAGCATGCGTAATTTGTGCTCACTATCATTCTTTCAGAAAACCATGCATGGTCATCAGCCTTGATGGTGGCTATCAGTTTTTCATTCTTCTCGGATCATGTTTGTGATTGCATCTCTATGTCAGTCTTGCCTGCAACCTGCTTAATTTCTTTTTCTGATAACCATGAAATTATGCCCCTGTTTGGTTCATATTAAAATCAGATTTTCAGTAGATTTTGGTAAAAAAACTGATGAAATGTGTGGTTGAAAAGTTTTTATAAAAGTTGTGAATCCTATGAAATGTGTTGGTTGAAAATGAGAGGGGAAAAATTAGTTTTAGAAAATGGGGCCAAACAGGGGCTACATTTCTGTATTATCTTTTAACTTTTAAGTGAATTTGGAGTTGGCCAAAACTTCATCTTCGTTGTTTTTTTTCTCTCTCTTTCCCTTGGGTGATTCACTTAATAATACATGGTTCAAATATGACCTAATATTACTCCTTTGTGTATTCATGATGATTATCAGACAACTGAGTAAACATGTTATTATCCAATATGCTTGACGCTGTACTGTAAGAATTGCTCTGTTTCCATTAAATCATTGTTTGTCTTTGTTACGTTACCCGTTGCTTGTTCTGGTGATTATGACTTCATTCTTGTTTACGGGTGTTCCTTCCACCAATGAGAAGAAGGGGGGATTGGGGTGGGGGATGTTTGAAAGGAGAAAATGTTTCTTTTGTGTGCTAAGGTGTTTTGGCATCCAGATGGTTCTGCGTCTATAGAATTACAACCCAAATATCCAAGAAGGATTGAAGAACAAGGAAGCATGACCAGTGATGACCTTGAAGAACTGGAATTTGGGGACGACGTCCCTCGTTCTTTTCGCAACAACCCGCTCTCGGCTAGCATGGGAGTGTCCAGGTGGCAGCTGAAAGGGAAAAGGAATAACCGTGGTCTTATGAAGAGGTCTGATGCAGAAGTTTCTGGAGGATATATATATCGAGGACGGTCAAATTGGAGCAGTAGTGGTAAAAAGTCTGATTTGATTGAGAGAAGTTTTAGGACCGGCATGCCTGGATATAGATCTACATGTCTCCCAGATGGCTTGGCTCGGAATGATCAGTCGTCCATGAGAGGATATTGGGACGATTCTCTCGATCCTCTATCTGCTCAGCATCATTTTGGTGGAAGTACCTTGTTGGATGTGGATTTGAAGGTTCAGGCGAACAACTACTGTAGAGACGTCCCTATTATCTCAATGCAGAGTAAGCTAAATGGACGTGCTATAATAGGGCACCCTATCCAAGTTGAAGCTCTTGAAAGTGGTTCCTCAGAAAACTTTCTTCCTGCTACCAATCATTTTTATCCTGAAACATCGGAGAATCATATGGCGCTTACACCCATATGGAGTACTGCTCGTAGAACTGCCAATTTTCGGGTTCCACGCCCACACGTGTCCTCAGCAATGAGTAGTGAAAGTAAACCAGATCTTCAAGTTGTTGTTGACCAAGACAAACAAATCCCATTTGGACACCCTCAACATTTGGACAGGAGATTCCCAAGAAATTCACCGAGGAAAATTAATCCGTCTTCCAACCAGAAGACAAGAACACTTTCATCGATTGCTTCAGAACCTAAACATAGTATTGATCATAGAATTGGAGGCAACAATTATCAAGCAGACGGGCTGATGAAAACCCAGGACGTGCCTACAACTGTAGCTTGTATACCTGTTAAGCTGGTATTCAGTAGGTTGCACGAGGAGTTTGATGGGTACCATCAGGAATGAAATTCCGAGTCCTGATGATGGATGTGAAATAATAGAACGGTGATCGCTATTAGCCTTGTGTAAATTCTTGGAAACCAATTATCATATTGAACCCCAGGTTCAACATCTTTTCATTGAAAGCCCCATCTATGGATTTGTTTTGGTCGAAAAACCTGTAGAACAGGATTGTTTGTGAAATGAAAGCATAGGATATTTTGAGGTATGTATGTTTTGCTGGGCTTTGTATACATGAAAGGGTGATACTTTGATGTGCTCTATGGATAGAAATACATAATGTAGATTTTATGTAGAAGATCACATCGTTGTTTTTTTCTGTCTTTTAAAGGTGTCAAAATTGTGTTGAACCCTAATTTGCTCATATATGTCGTCATCTCTAAATATTGTCCAAATGGAGTATATAATTTTTGTTATAAATTAGAGAGAAAAAATAGAGAATGAAATAGAGAAGTCATTAGAATTGTGTGTTTAATTAAGAACCAAGTATTTATTTAAGCGATAACTATCTCATTGAAACATTATTTAGCTAAAACTCGATGGGACAAAAATTCTGACGAATGAAATAAGCCCCTGTTTGACATCATTAAAATTACACATATTTTTCAATAAAACAATATTATACGTAAACCCAAAATAATTTAGATCATGTGCGGTGGAGATTTTAATCCAATTAACATCAATTTTTTAATCGTTATTTCACTATTCCAACCATCATTTTCGAATTTTTCTCTCACATGTAAGACCTAATTAACAAAATCCCTACCAAACAAGCACTTATTCTTTTTTAACTACACATTCTTAAAAAAACAATAATATAAAAATTATATTCTCAAGTAATGTTAAATAATAGGGGCCAAACGAGGGATAATTTGGAGTAATAAAATGGTGCCTTATTAAAATTTTGTTAAGAAAATCCTGTGGAACAAAAATTGATCAAATGAAAAAAAGTACAACTGCTCTCCTTGATTCCAATTCTTGTAACAATTCATTAATATGTTTAACATTGCAATTCTGATGAAAGCATATTTCATGTTGTCTCGTTATAACCTTCAAATAACACCATCTTCATACGAAGTATTTATCATTTGATGATTATAATAACATGATAATTTGAAAAATAGCTTTTGTTGATTTTTTCGAGAGTCTCGTACATATAGAAATATTATTTTGAGGGTAAATATTTTGCATGTTATGGACATTCATCATATAAAGGATATACTTCATTAAAACCTTATTACAAAAAAATCCTGTGAGAAAAATCCTGATTAAGAAAAAAATACATTTATTTTTTTTTAGTACACAACAAAAGTTGTCTAAGTAAAATCCTTGTCAGGAAAACCAATAGAACAAAATATTTGTCAAGGAAAAATGAGTATAACACATATTTACTCTCTCTTATAATAATATTACTTGAATTATGCTTCAACCATATTAAATCTTTCACTGATAACATTAATAGTCATACTAGATAAGTTGATAATCATGCATTTCAAATTTGTGCTCGTCAATATAACATGATATGAACTAGTGATTTCATCCTCCATGATCTTTGGGAAATTCATTATGTTAAGAGTCGCACGTTACATATTACAATCTCATTTTTCTTTGTTTTCTTTTTGTATATGTATATACCTTTAGATTTTTGAACTGTAGGTAAAAAAACTTCAAGTTTTCTCAAGTAAATTTTATTTTGTTAAGATCGCGTTCAGAAATTTCAGGCTTATCTATTAAGTTCAATTTTAATATGATCGCATCATTTTATTTGATTAATCATTATTTCAATCAACATGTTTCGATGAATTTATTTTGATTTCTCACTATTCATAATATGATACAGTGCATCATGTACAAAAGTGTTATCGACAACTTTTTTCTTTTCAATTCTATTTTTTCTATAATGACATAATTTATTGAAATATCTCAATTTTTATTATATCAAATACCTGAACTTCTGAAATTTTAC